TATTTTTAAAACAAGTTTTGAAGGATTATGGCTGTTTTTATTTATTTTTCACAGTAAAATTCTTACTGTTGTGTTTTTAGGTTTAGACAGTTTTTAAGATCAGGGACAATGGATGAAAAATAGCCTTTTGGTTCATTCTGGTGCATTTGCAGGACTGCTTATTAATGTTGGCCGTCCCTGTCAAATAAATTAATCTAAATGGAAGATTTCACACATCATCAGTTTAACATGGATGGAAGTAAAATGTTAAAAACTGAATAAAAAAAGATGTTTCCCTTTGTTCTTCAGGCTTCTCAAAGCGCTAAGAGACACAATCACATCCCATCATGACAGCTCTTTATTAAGGCACATGGTTCAGGTAAACATTAAAACCACCAATAAATGAGCAGATCTAGGAGAAAGTGAGACACCTGCTGGTCGGAAAGCGCAGAGCGTCTGCTTCCAGCCTGCTAACATTCAGGGATCTGATAAAGAGATGTTGATGATCCAGCTCCTCCCTTTCCTGCTGGGATGAGAGCAACCGCATCCATCCCACCTCATGGTCTCAGCTCACCGTCAGAACAAACTAAACGGCTAATTAATAAAAAGATTGAATGTTTTCCATAATTTAATGGAGAATTATGAGATCTGTGGTTTATTTTACACATAATTGGCCTCTTTCCCTTGGGGAAAAATAACATTGCTTTGGTAAAATAAATAATTAGATGTTAAAATGTCCACTTTGTCCAGCAGCAGCAGCATCCTTCCTACTAATATGAAGGATTTCCAACATGGCGGCTGAATAGCGGAGACGATCCTCCGCCATGTTGGCTCAGTGTTGCTATGGAGAAGAAGCTCTGCTTCTGTTTCTATCATAAAAGTTCTTGATCCTCTAGTTTAATAATTATCAGTTTGACTCCAAAATGTTTAGTGACACTCTTCTAAAAACTCGAGGTGTGTCGAACGCAGCTCCTCTGATGAAGCTGCAGGAGCTTCCTGTCAATGGAGGGAGATCTCCTGCTCCTCCTCTTCATCCTCAGCAGAATCCTCACACGCCTCCCCGCTGTGCAGCAAAGGAAGCTGCAGCTCGGA